ATGTCTTGGGAGGAGGGGGGGAGGGGGGGGGGAACGGGAAAGGAAGAGAGAGAGAGAGAGAGAGAGAGAGAGAGACCCTTGTCCCTCGCCTGGCTCCCTCGTCCCGCAAAAAAAAAGAGGTAAGATGGTGAGTCAAAAAAAAAGTGTCCAAAAAATGTATTACATGTACATGTGGCCCTGGGCATCGCCCCCCCCCCCCAAACTCCTCCTCCCCTTTCCCTCTCTTTTTTTGTCCTGTTTTAGATGTGCCCTCCCCCCCCATGCTCACTAACCTCGTAAGCAGCACGCACACACACACACAGCAAAGCTCGCAAGCTTTGCCCCGCCATGATCCGCGGGCAGAACGCCAGGACCGTCTAGAACCCCACCCCCCCCCCAACCACCCATGCGCGCCCTTTTGACACATGCACATGGCAAAATCGGCGCCAAATCCCGCCCGGGGGTGCTCTGGTCTTGGCCCGTGAATTGCCGTTGCGGCGGGTTTAGTCGGGCCCCTGGACTTTGGAGGCTTTTTGGTGGTCTGGTGAGCACGAGGGGAAGGGGGGAAGTTTGCGAGATCCATGGTGTGTGTGTGGTGTGGTGTGCACTCGGTACACTAAACTAAACCCTACTTACCGATGCGAATAATACTGATACCATTCTTCTCATCTGATCGTGGGTCCTTCGGGCCGAGTGGGGTCTTGCCCTCCCCCCCCCTCCTCCCCTCTTTGACCCTATCGTCGACCGAAGGTATGGGCTATGCTTGCGGGATAATATGTAGGGTTCACGAACTAAAAAAAATAGCGATGTGTTTGCAAAGTATGATATGTCTGCTGCTGCTGCCAAGCCAACCGAAAAAAAAAACACAACCAAGCACCACATCGTGTTAGGCTGACGGCTACAAAAAAAACCCCAATTCTATGTTACGCTAAATACACGGTGCTAGTACGGAGCCGTCTCGCGCTTCAGCCACGCCAGTGTCAAGGCGTCCTTCTCGAAGAAGTGGCTTGTCTTGTCATAGACTTCCTGGTGGTATTCGTTGAGGAACTTCTTCTCGTCGTCGGTGAGCAGGCTCATGTCGACGAGCTTTCTGCAGTGCGGCGTCATGGTGACATGCTCGAAGCCCAGGTACGGCTTGTCGCCGAATTTGTGCTTGGTTTCGACTTCCTTGACCATGACCATGTTCTCGATGCGGATGCCAAACTTGCCGTCTTCGTAGTACCCAGGCTCGTCTGATACCACGTTCCCGACGGCCAACGACACCTCCGAGTACTGCACTCGCGTGCCGATGCCAATCGGGCCTTCGTGCACGTTGAGGAATGAGCCTACCCCATGTCCTGTACCGTGGCGGTAGTCAAGGCCCTCCGCCCATAGGAATTGCCGGGCCAGGGCATCCAGCGCGAAGCCGGTCGTGCCCTTGGGGAATTTGACTCGCTCCAGGGCCATGTTACCCTTGAGAACGAGCGTGTATGCCTTGCGCTCCATCTCCGACGGCTCGGTAAAGTGCAACGTCCGCGTCGTGTCTGTGGTGCCATCACGGTACTGTGCTCCAGAGTCACACAGGTAGATGGCTTTGGGGTCAATGACTGAGCATGCGCCTTTTTCTGGCTTGTAGTGGATGACGGCTGCGTTTGGTCCGGTTGACGAGATGGTGTCAAACGAAAGACCCATGAACATGTCGTGTTTCTTGCGAATCTCCTCTAGCTTATCCGCAGCGTCTACTTCATCGAGCGTCGCCTTTTTGTTAATAAGCTGGTCCTCCAACCATGCAAAGTATTCGCTCAATGCCGCTCCATCACGGATGTGGCTCTGTCGCATGCCCTCCAGCTCCACCTCGTTCTTGACGGCCTTGGCATCGCCAACGGGACTTCGAGTTTCCTCGACCTTGTCCTCGCCACCGAGAGCCTTGTTGAGCGCCCACGAAGCACGGTTGGAAGTGAGAAACTTCTTTGGTGCGGCGCCCTCGTCGTTGGCTGCAAACATTTCCTTGCTCAGCGCTGTGACATCGCCGAATATCGCCTCGTAGGGGCGAATGCTGACTTTGTCGCCCAAGTGCTTCTTCACATCCTCGGATAGCTTGCTGTCGTTGACGTACAGGGTGGCTGCGGTGGGCGTGATGACGGCGTACGAGAAGAAGACTGGGTTGTAAGGGATGCTGCACAGCGTTAACGGCGACTCAGAAGGACCATTGGCCACACATACTCGCTGCCACGGAGGTTGAAGAGCCACGCAATCTCGTCGAGCATCGACACGACAAAACCCAGGCTCTTCCTCTTGTCCAGCTCCTTGCGCAGATCCTCAATCTTGTCGGTGAAGCTCTTGCCCGCGTACTTGTCGGGCTGCACAATGACCATCTCGCTCGGGCGGGCAGGCCTCTCGGCGCCCCATACCAAATCGACCAGGTTCTCGTCGACGGCCTTGTACTCACCGCCCTTCTTCTTGATCTTGTCGGCCAGCTTACGGGCGTCTGCTGCAGTGACGACACTCGGGTCGACGCCAACGACCTTGCCGCCCTCGGCCTGCTCTGCCGTCCACTCTTGGATCGTGGGCACGTCCTGGATGCCCTGCTTCAGCAGCTCCCAATTGCTGTCCAGCTGCTTCTCGGCCTGGTTGAAGTAGCGCCCGTCGGTCGAGAGGGCAGCCTTGTCCTGGGTGACGACGGCATAGCCAGCAGAGCCCGTGAAGCCACTGATGTATGCTAGGTGCGTGTCAATGGGTGCGATGCGACGAGCAGCGGGGGGTCCTGACCTCGGCGGGCGTCACACGGGGCAATGTACTCGCTTTGATGGCTGTCTTCAGAGGGCACCACTGCGCGGGGTCAGCCACATGGCTTTCTCTATCTCGCTCTCGCTCTCTATGTGTGTGTAGGCGCCAGGCTCGTGCGGGCTTACTGTAGATGTCGACATTGCGCTCCTTCATGAGCTTACGGAGCTCGGCCAGGCGGTGGGACGTGTCTACTTTGGCCATGTCGATGGCTCGCAGGGCGGCAGAAGCGTGGAAGAGGAGGCGGGGGGGAGGCGGCGTCTTTGCGGCTACATATACTGTAGTTGTCGCGTGTGACCGCCGTAGGATGCGCGGGAAGAGCATAGAGGAGTGACACGCTGGTTCGTGCCTATGGTCGGTCGGGATAGCTACTGTATGCACGACACCCCGCCGACAGCCTTCGAGGGCCGCGGCGAGTCGCCCACTACCTCCCTGGACGCTCCCTGGACGCGCTCGCCCCGCCCACGCATCGCCAGACGGCCGTCTCGAGTGTGTCGCGGCTCTTTGTTTGCCTGCGTCCAGTGCAGTGCAGTGGTTGCAGCGGGCAAAGGCCATGGACTCGCCCCGTCGCCCCCGTCGCCCCCGTCGCCCCCGTCGCCCCCGTCGCCCCCGTCGCTGTTTGCTCTTGCTCTGTCTGCCCCACCACGCGCCTACAAGTACCCAAGTATGCCTGCCTACTTACCTACACCCAGGCCTGTCTACCTCGCCCTACTCACCCTCACCCTCGCCTTGACACCACATTCCACTCTGCACTCTGCGCCTGGACACGCCAGAAGCATGCTGAGCCCGCCACCGTCTTGACCGCGACGTCATTCTGGCTGCAGCCCACCCACCGTCCTGTCGAGTAAGTAGTCCAATTTGCCTTTGTTTGGCGCCCGTATCCCAACCCGCCGGTCGCACCTTCCTGCTTTGGGCATCATGCCAGCTAGTTTTTGGATGAATGCTTCCCCACACCACGCTGCCCATGACACCTGAGCAGCCCTGCCATATCGCATGCGCACTTTTTCTTCCGTGTCATCATCGGGCCCGGTGTGGCTGTCGCCGCCTCTGTCCTGACAATCACCTCCGAGCACTGCAGGCTGTGACCCACGCGAGACCAACCAGCGCCGGCAACGTCGACAAGGCCCAATCTGCTGACGCTCGTCGCAGATTCCACCATGGCGAGCAACGGCACCCAGTCGTTTCCGCTGCCCTATGAAGAGATTGAGCGCCTCGTCAAGTCGCTGTATGAGCCTGGCCAGGCCAAGAAAATCTCTGAAACCGAAGCCACTTTGCGCGTGCTCCAGCGCTCGCCTCAGGGGTGGGAGATTGCAAATGCTCTGCTCAAGAGCGACGACGAGCAAGTCCGCTTCTTTGGCGCCCTCACCCTCACGGTCAAGCTCAACGCCGACTCGGCCGAGTTGAGCGAGCAAGATTCCGAGCAATTGCTGTCAACACTCATCCATCACCTCGTTTCACGCCCTACTACGTCCATTGCCACTCGCAAGATTAGCTCCACCCTCGCCCAGTACTTCACCAAGCCCATCTCGGTATGGACTCGGTGCATTCGGAGCCTGGCCGCTTCTTTTGCCGCCCAGCGACCAGTCTTGGATGCGGCCCTGAGCGAGCACCCCTCAACATGGGACCTCCTGCCCCAATTCTCCGACGAGCAGCTCCTGGTCATGCTGGACTTTGTCATGAGCTTGGCCGACGAATCCAAGAAGCCATCCAATGTACCAGGCCGAAAACCACACGACCGCATGGCGGCAAATGTCGAGAGTGTCGAGATCCTCCTCCATGTGTCTTTTAGTCGTGGTATCAAATGGCTGTCGACGTCGATTGATGATCCAAACTACACCGATTCCGTGCAGCAGGGAGAGAAGATCTGCATAGCGGCCCTAAAGTGTTTTACAGGTTGGATCTTCTATGCCCAGTCAGAGTTCAAAGACAGTCCCGAGAACCTTCAACATCTCCGGTCTGTCAATGAGCTCGCTCTGTCCTGCCTCGAATACCATGTTGAGGATGCTATGGAACTGGTAGCCGAGATCCTAGAAAACTACCCTACATTTTTCGAAGCAAAGCACCAAGAGATGCTGTGGTCGGCCATCTCCGGCCCATGGGGTCTGGAGATTTTGAAGAACTCGGATGCCGAAACCATTTCGCTCGCAAGAATTATTGTGGCCTACGGACAGATTCTACTCGAGTCCAAGGTCATTTACACACAGCCCGAAAATGCACACTACCAGCAGGTCATGTCGTTTCTGCATGACCTTCTCAAGTTTCCCGAACCTGTGGGTGCAGAAGACGAGGTCGCCCCCGTGGTGCTTGACTTCTGGAGTAGCTTTGTCAGCGCCATCTCCGAAGAAACATTTTTGTATCCCGCAGGGGAGGCAGTGCCAGAATGGATGGGTACCGCCAAGGCCAACGTCCTTCAAGCCATTTCCGAGCTCGTCCAGAAAATCATCTATCCGCCTGCCGACGTCACCGAATCCTGGGATTCCGATGCCAAGAAGACATTCAAGGTGTTCCGTATCGATGTGCGCGATATCATCATGGACGCGTATGACCCCCTCCGGGACGTATTAACTGATCAATTCGTCGATTTTGCACTGCATGGGCTGAGCGCGGGGAAATGGCTGTATCTTGAAACTGGGCTGTTTGGGCTCATTGCTATTGCTGATGCATTGAACCGAATCTCAGATGAGCGTCTGCTTCGGCTCTTTGAGCAACCTTTATTCTCGACAATATCCAGCAGCCCTGATGTACCTGCGATAACCCGGAGGACGGCGGTTGAGCTCGTTGCTGCTCTAAACCACTTCTTCCTCCGACACTCACAGTTCCTCCCTCAGGTTCTCCCCTTTCTCCTTACTGCACTGGCTCAACCGGCAATTGCCCATGGTGCCGCAAAGTCTTTTGCTTCGCTTTGTTCCGAATGCCGCAAATCTCTGACAGGAGAGCTGACCTCATTTTTCCAAATGTACGAGCAGTTCATCACCTACGCAACAGCTGAAGAGTTCACCAAGAGCATGGTTTTGAAAGGCATCGCCGCCATTGTGCAAGCTCAGGACACAGAAGACAAGCAGCTGGAAGGCGTACGCCATCTTTTCCAGTACATTACCCGCGACGCCATGCAAGCAATCCACATTACCAAAGAAGGAGGGGATCCAGAGCAAGGCCAAGTACTTGCACTGACGACACTAAAATGTCTGGCAAACATTGGAAAGGCTATGCAAGCCTCAGACGAGGAAGTGGTAGATCTGGAATCTGACAAAGCGCCTTCCACGTTCTGGTTGCAAGGGCCCGGCAAGGAAATACAAAACCAAATCATTAATCTTGTCAACTACATGACACAGGTATTCTCCAGTAATGACGAAATCATCGAAGCTGCGTGCAACGTTCTGCGCACCGGCTTCAAAGAGGCGATATCAGGACCCTTTGTCTTACCCCTCTCTGCAGCAATCGATTTCATCACCAAGACGACTGTGCAAACTCCCAGACTGCCATTTGTGCTAGAAACCGCATGTTGCTGGATATCATCTCATAAGCACAAACAACCCGAGGGCTTTCAGCAACAGGCACAGCGTTTGCTTCAGCACAATCTCAGCATCATGCAAGCACTTCAGCACCCAAGGAACGATCCGGAAATCGCCGTTGGCTGCATTGAGCTCATTCAAAACTTCATCAACGCCGACCCGCGCATCATGACACAAGAGTCTCCCGGGAATTTGTCGGGAATGTTTGGCTTCACGGTTGAATCGATCAAGTCCCCTGAAGTATTGCCAAAGCGCGCCGCCGCCAAGCTGTGGAAAGACATCTTCGAGCTCGCAGGCAATACACATAGCCCGCACCATGTCACGACGCAGGAGATTGTGGCCCACTTTGGTCCTTCTGTCTGTCTCGCACTCATCTCCAATGTGTGTGGAGAGGTAGACTTTACCAGCCTGGAACACATTGTCGCACCTCTCCGTGCTTTGATGAGGGCCGATAAGAACGCAAGGGCTTACATCACAAATTCGCTGGCAGAGCAGCCACTTCTGCAGCGCTTCCAAGAAGACCAGGGCGTTCAAGACATGGTACGAAAGCTCATTGAGAGCATGTCTAGGTATGTTTGATTTTCGGTCAGAATGCGTACGGCCAGAAGCTGACGTATATACAGAAATGCGAAGAACAGTGTAGCTTTCAAGGACACCATAAAGGCCTTCTGGCAAAGTTGCAAACAACTGCAAATGCAGCTCCAGCCACAGACGATGAACCCAGCGCATCGCTTCACTCATGGTTATCCTCACCCACCCGCGTACTGAGCGACTTGTTAAAAGCGCCAAACTTAGAACTCTGAAAATGCTGCCATGGCGAATGTGAGGCCAAATGACAACTTGAAAGCAACGTTGTCCCGGACCAGCGACTGGATGTTCACCGACTTGATGCGGCGCTGGAGAAATGCATACGGTATGATGTGGATACCGCGCGATTCGATGAACTAGCATATGTGTCAATTTCACCTTCCCCTTTCGAAGCATGGACCGTATGGTCTACAAAGATATCCAAGAGTTATGCATGGCGTTCTAGTGATACACCATAGACAGTTGAATAGAGCATAGTGAACAAGACATTGAACTTACCTGCACAGCAAAGATGCCCAACCCGATCAATATGGCCAATGGCCTGCTAAAGACACTGAGTCCTATTCCTCCAATCACACCCAGAATACTTCCCATGCTAATTTGTTGAACTGTCTCGGGATTCATCACACCTGATTGAGTGATGACGGGCGTTTTTGCTTCGGTGGTGTAGTTGCTCTTCAAGTCATTGGTAATTTTGGTGAGGGGATCGGGGCCATCACAGCGAATGCGCTGTCCATTGCGAAGTTGATATGCCAGCAGAGGTGTCGAGAGAATGAGTGGCGTGCTGAGCAGCAGGCCTCGGCGAAGACCAGGCAGGAGAAACGACATGTTCGTTTGTTGCCGTGAGAGTCTGGGGTCACGGGAGAGCTGTTGCTGGTGGAGGTATGCGGTGAGCTGTCCTTTAAGCTTTCGATCGACTGTTGCGGTACGGGCCGAAGAGCAAATAGCACGGATTGGAAGAAGAGCGCGGGGGGCCAGGGTGTAGACACGGAGGTGCGTCCTTGTCAAGCCAGTCAGTCCCAATGGTGTCGGATACATGGATAGAAAACAGAGTGTTAACCCGAGCACCCGTGGGGGGAAGCTGACCTCCGAGGTAGTGATGTCATTGGCCCGGACTATGGCGTTGCGACCAAGCTGTTTTGGGCCTAGAGCCAGGACCCTGACTTCGTGAGCCTCAAACGTAACGTCGCGTCTTCGCAACACCATGATGGACGTGTCGAAATTACACCGGCACTGTTTCGCGCTTCGTCATGACAACTGCCGCTCCTTACAATCTCCAATTGACTAATTAGTAGGTAATCAGGTCACAATGGCGCCCCGAACGCTGCTTCTGGCGGTCGCGAACCTTTTGATCCCGGTCGCGATACTGGTCTTCGCAACTGGCTTCTTTCCGTACAAACCTTTTATGCCTGGTCTCGCCGAGTATGAAGAGCTTGGATTCTCTGAGGCGCTTGGAGAGCATTGGCAAAAGCCGCCCGCGGCGCCGTTTGACAGGGTAGTCTTCATGGTAGTTGACGCGCTGAGGAGCGACTTTGTATATGGAGAGGAGAGTGGCATGAGCTTTGTGCAGAGGTACGATAGCCTCCGGGGAAATACGACACAAAGTCGCATCACAGCTGACATCCTTCTAGTCTGATTCGTGATGGAACCGCCCTCCCGTTCACGGCGCACGCTACCTCTCCTACAATCACTATGCCGCGTGTAAAAGCCATCACCACAGGCTCCATCCCCTCATTTGTAGACGTAATTCTCAACTTTGCCGAATCTGATACCACTTCGACACTCGCGACTCAGGACACTTGGCTTGCGCAGATCAAGGCAAAGGACTTTGAAAATGGCAAAGGGAAGCTGGTCATGTACGGCGATGATACCTGGCTGAAGCTCTTTCCAAATGTCTTCGAGCGCGCAGACGGAACGAGCAGCTTTTTTGTCTCGGTCAGTCATACGCGTCCTGCCGTATATAGGAACAATAGAATGTTGATTTGAAAATGCAGGATTTCACAGAGGTTGACAATAATGTGACAAGGCATGTTCCGAATGAATTGCTGAACAGCGACTGGAATGCAATGATTATGCATTATCTCGGCCTGGACCACATTGGGCACAAGGCTGGTCCGAAGAGGTAAAACGGCACCCAGACTGGCAGTCCAAAGCACTAATCATTCCATAGCCCCAACATGGTTCCTAAGCAGATTGAAATGGATGGCATTGTTCGCGACATTTACTCTGCTATTGAAAATGAGGAACACTTGTCTGAAACGCTGTTTGTTCTTTGCGGCGACCACGGCATGAATGACGGTGGTAACCACGGTGGCTCCTCTCCTGGCGAGACATCTCCAGCCCTAGTCTTTATGAGTCCCAAGCTCACCAAGATTACGAAGCCTGCCAGCAAGAAAAGTCCAGTGAAGCCTAAAAACGAAGGCGAGTTTGATTTTTACCGCATGGTTGAACAGAGCGATATCGCCCCAACGCTGGCTGGCTTGCTTGGGTTTCCAGTGCCCCAGAACAATCTCGGTGTTTTCCTGGAAGATTTCCTTCCATTCTGGAATAAACGTACGTAAACGTGCTTGCTGGTGGGTGCCTTCGATTAACAAAGTGCAGCCTTGGATCGCATTCAGATTCTCTACCGCAATGCGAAGCAGATGAAGAAGATTGTCGCAGCCAAATACACCAGCCTGAAGTTTGGGGAATCACTCTCAGCATCAGACAGTGCGCCCGAGTGTGCAAAGGGATATGATGTATGTCCTGTGATCATTGCCTTTGAACTTACTAACATGATTAGGGGACTGATGGCCAGAAATTGGCATGTCTCTGGCGAGAGGTTGTTGCTTCAATGACAAGCGGGAAGGATGATTATGCAAGCTTTTACAAGGTAGGTTCTATGTCCATCACGAGCTGGTTGGTGTATGAACATTACACTAACAATATCAGTTCATGCACATGGCTCAGGAAACCATGTCAAGCACCGCATCCAACTACAATGTACCGCGTCTCTTTATGGGTACGGGCCTAGCTTTGCTCATCTCTTGCTTGGCCTACTTTACTCTCCCTTCTTTCAAGCCTGTCACACCAGCCGGCATCTACTTCAGCCTGTCTCTCATCCTGTATACCGTCCTCATGTTCGCGTCATCCTACGTGGAAGAAGAGCACAACTTCTGGTACTGGGCCACTTCTGGCTGGCTGCTCTGCCTTTTCTTCACCAACATACGAAGGGAGTGGTACACTAGATGGATTTTTCACCCCGCCATCATGGCGTTGGCCATCCACAGAATCATCAGGCGATGGAACCAAACCGGACAGAAATACGCTGGCGCTGATGATATCGTGAACAGCGGTATCTTCCACGGGAGAAACTCGGTCATCCTGTGGGCATTGATCGGCGCCACATACATGGATGCAACCATTCGCCTCTCTAGGCACATTGCCCGTGCCATCGCAACATTCGAGACTGATTCAAAGTCACGAAGCGTGGAATTCGAGTCGACAGACCAGAACCGCATGTTTGGCACAATTGCCGTGATACCACTCTGCGGAACGGCCTTTATCTTCAAGCTAGCCTTCACAGCAAAGGACGCGCCGGAACTGACAAGCGGCATCAGCACACACCTGATGCAGATGGTCGAGAGCCTGGAACTAGTCGGTCTCGCACGCATGGTCTTTGGCGGTCTCCTTCTCAGCGCATGCTGGATCACGCTCGCAGAACGCACACGCTCCAACCGGAGAAAGAGGCGCGGAGCAAAAGGAAATGGCGGTACGTCTCTGACTCTCTCACATGCCACGCAGAATGCTGTTTGAAACTCACTTGCTAAAACGGAAGAAATTAGATCTTGCTGTCGCCTTGTTCGACCTCATTACCGTTTTCCTATTTACCCAGACAAAAGCCCAGAACATCCCCCTCTACTTTCTCTTTCGCCTGCAATACTTTTTCCTAAGTAAGTCTTTTTTTTTCCTGCCTTTCATATCGCCATGTCCTCTTTCTCCTCGTAAATCCGCACTTACTGACCCCCTACACAACAGCCCTCATCGAGCTCTCCCCCACCGCCACAACACTCACCACGCTACTCCTCAGCCAAACCGCCTTCTTCGCGCTCGGCAACAGCAACTCCATCTCCTCCATCGACCTCTCCAACTCGTACAACGCCATATCCGGGTACAACGTCGTTGCCGTTGGCGCCCTCGTTTTCCTATCCAACTGGGCCGGTCCCGTCTACTGGTCTCTCGCCGGCTTGCTCCTGCTAGGCGCGCACGGCCGCCCGCAGCGCCACATCAACACGTCTGAAATGCATGTTGCAGATTGGGTTGCGCGCGAGCGCGAGTGGCTGAACGAGATGGCGCGAAAAGAGGAATCGGCCAGGGAAACGAGGGCTTCGGCCAAGGAGTGGCGCGCACATGCTGCGCTGCTGACCTTCTGGTCTGGTGCTATGCTCGCTGCTGTTATGCTCGCGTGTACGGTGCTCAGACAGCATTTGTTCATCTGGACTGTGTTTAGCCCAAAGTACCTGTTTGCTATGGCCTGGGGAATCGCCTGGCATTTGGGTGTTACAATGGGGCTTGGCGGCTTGGTGTGGTGGCTTGGGAGTTGGTAGCATTCTGGGCGAGAGTGAAGTATCATATGTAGTAGATGGCAGTATGGGGATAGAAAGGATGTGAGTTGCGTGTTGAAGTTTGGAGGACATCGTGTTCTTTTTTTTTGTACAGAGTTGTGCATTTTGATTTTGTTTTTTCTTCTTTTGCTGTTCTAGTTGATTGATACCTTGGATTGGATTGGATTGGTGATGGGGCCATTCATTCATTCATTCATTCATGTATAATTATGCGTTACACTTGTAGCGATAGTGCTTTCCTCAAAACAACACACCTCATCCCTATTCCCGCATTCTCACCATATATTCTGCGGTTCAGCACTCGGATCCAACGGGCTTTCGCTCTCACTCTCTTCCTCCCCTTCTTCCTCCGCCTTTCTCGTTTCCTCGCCGCCACCCACAACACTATCCGCAATACTCTTCTTCCTCTTCTGCTCTTCCAGCTCCTGAATACTCCTCTTCCTGTCGCCCTCCCAGCGCTCCTGGACGCGCTCATGTGCCGCCACCCCAGCCACCTCTTTCATGGCATTTTTGACATTGTCAGGCTGCTCGATTTGGTCCCAGCGGACGCCGTCCTCGGCCATTTCGCGCGGGTCGTAGCGCGACATCTCAGCGAACATTTGCTCGCCGCAGTACGCACACTTGACCTGCTCGCCGGGCCCCACGCCGGGAGCGGGCGGATTGGGAATCGGGATTGGGGCTTGCGTTGCGTGTTTGGAGCTACAATGTAGAGGTGGCTGTTTTTAGATGATGGCAATAGAGATGGGCATGATGCATTGTGGTATGAAGAGGAAAGGCAGATGAGATCAAGTGAGATGAGATCAAATGCAAGGTAACGAACGAAAAAAAAAACTGAAAAGAACTTACACGCCACCGGATTCTTTCTTTCGTGTCTTGACTGGAGGAATAACATCCGTAATTCCTCTGTCATTGAAGTGATTGCAGTACTCGCACTTCCACCGATCCTGCATCTTGGCCGGATCGATGATCTTGTCCATAGTCGCCTTCTTCTTCTCATACGCATCGTCGCGCCACGTATCCGAGACGGGGTTGCGCGGGACGCCTGGGCCGCGGCGCTGCGTACTGGACTCTGGGTCGTGGTAGTCTGGTAAATTTGATTTGGGCGAGCGCGTGCGGTCGTGCTCAGGCCCATGCTTGAATTGATGCGGGAATTTGGATACGTGGGGGGGCGAGGGCGGTGGTTGTGGGGGGAGAGCCGCGTTGTACGATTCAACGGAGAGGTTGGCTAGGCCCTCGGATAGAGATGAGCTGCGTCGGCGGGTTGCGGTTCTAATGTGTGGGTGGTGTTAGTGCGTGTAGAGTCAGGATAGAGTGAGGCCTTGGAAGGAATGTCGTGGAGATTCGTCGGCTCCATTGGCTTCTAGGGGTTAAGGAGGATACGCTGGAAGATGCGGGAAGTGAGGGAGTGAGAGTAGACTCACGCTTCTTCTACTACTTCCTCCTGAGTCTTCTTTTCAAACGAAAGCTGGGCTTCTTTGCCCTTTCGCGATCCAGAGGATCCAGTAGCAGTATTTTGCTGGGCACTACAAATTTCTCATCAGCCAGCTCTCTTGCAAGATATTCTTTTGCTGTTGTGTTCCTTTCTCAGGAGGATGTGATCAGATATGCTTCTCGTACCCTTCACCAGGCTCATTCGCCTCTCCAGACTCGTCGGATGTCGACACCCATTCATCAGACCCTTCCTCCTTTGCCACCTCTCCGGATTCTCCAGACGTCGACACCCATTCGTCAGAGTTATCCTGGCTCATTGCAACGACTGAGGTTCAGCAGATGGTAAATGTTCTGAAGCGATGTTGTGCTGTGGGAGTGCGCGATAGTAATAGCAGATTCCGCTGGTGATTGAGAGAGCTGAGCGATTGCGAATGGGAAATTCACATTTATGGCTGTGTAGCATTGCTACTGTCATTTTCATAATGCTTCCTTCCCCCAAAATTGTAGAAAGCTGCCGAGCGTGGGCGAGACAAAGAAGGTGCATGGCAGTGTGTGGAAAGGGGCTTTGGCAAGTACAAGGCGGAGTTTGATAGATGGTTAAGAGGGAAAGTGCACTCACTAGAAGACTGAACTAAGGCTCCTCTTGAGAAATCGGGAAGTGATGAAAAGAATCATAGCACGATGGGGCGATGTCTAGACATTATACCCGTTAGTACTTACATGGTGACACTATATAAAACTGCAGTTGTCCAACAAGCTTATAATGCAGATGAAATGTACACAATCCTCTTATATTGTCCAAAAAAAGATATCATATCACAACACAGCGCTACACATACACGTATATACCCTCCAAACTCAGCTAACCTCTGTATACCGAATGCCATGAAAAAAAAACGCATCTGGACCTTCATCCGCCACGTACCTCACCATCCCTCCTACACCCGATTTCCTTCAAAGTGGTAATTTCCTAGTGAATACACCGTTCTGTGTTAGGAAAAAGAAACTGCGATGAATAGTCGAGTAGATGACACCAAGGTATGTTTACTTTACAAAAAACACAGCTTCAGGGTCTAGAATCATGCTGGACAGGGGCCGCTCAAGCGAGCCGCTGCGAAGCAATCATGTTGTTAGTATACGCTTCCGTTGGCATGAGATGGCTACGGCAATGTCGCAGAAGCGAAAAAACAGCACTAGAGTGATGTATGGAATATACTCATGCTATTCTAACATAGCTAAGCTACTGATCTCTCCACCAAAAAGGGCATGGGGGGAAAAGACAGTCAGTCATATCATAGGCACAATCACAATCGTATAAAAGGGCAAAGTGTGAGAGTGCGAAACAAGGGCTGGAATTTATATCGCAAGAACTGACTTATACTCGTTTTGCCTCGCACCTTTCATGTAGAATTAAAAGGGGGGTCGGGATATCCAAAAAAAAGGGTGAAGTTGAAAGAAAGAAGTGAAGACAAGACAAGACAAGACATGAGAAGAGAAAAAACAAAACAGTAGAAGAAGAACCAAAGAAGGTGGGGAGTATCAAAAAATGGACGCCTGTTCCCCCAAGATAAACCGAACTCGCCACCGTTCCCCGTTCTCGCGAAACCCCATTCTCTGCCTTGCCTGTGACCTATCCAAAACTCCCCAAAAAGCAAAAAAGCCCGTCAGTTTGTTGACTAGCCTATGGTAATGTCATGTCACGACGTGAACTTGATTTCAGGTTCATGCCACATAGTAGAGCTTCATCGCGCTCAGCACCCGCTTGCGGCAGACGGGACAGTTCTGCACTTCTCTCGCACATGTGAGGCAAGCGACAACGTGCCCACAGTCGTAGAAAGCGGCCTCAGCCTCACCATCCCAGCAGATCCTACACAGCCTTTCTGCTTCTTGCGCATTCTTCCAATGGGTGACGCCTTCGCCGAACTTTTTATTGTTCTGCCATCCACCAACATACGTGTTGCCGCTGGTCGCCTCGACGTATGTACCAGTGCCATGTTGCTGGTCGTCGACCCAATCGCCATCATACGTATCGCCGTTCTGAAACGTGTACAGACCGTGGCCATGGCGCTGATTCAGGCGGAAGGAACCATTGTAAATGGCACCAGAGTGATAGATGAGGGTTCCATGGCCATGACGGTAGCCGTTGACAATCTCGCCCTTGTAGTATTCGCCCGAGAAGTAGTTGTATGTGAAGTGACCGTGCAACTTGTGAGGAAAGTTTCGGGCGAAAGCGCGGAACTTCATATATGCTTGTGGATCTGCAAAGGCGGCACGGTCGGCGAGTGTACTCTTTTGTTCAGCAGTAACAGGCATCCCGGCGATGAGGATGCTTGTATTGTGTAGATCGAGTTGCGTAAAAGTACGGCGATGTTTTAGGGTACGCGTAGTACTGATGTCTACTTCTTCCCACATTTCCAGTTTCTTCTTCTCTTCTGCTGGGAGTCCAAGCAATGCTACGACTGTCTCATCAACTCTCTGGGACTTGAGGGTGATGTGCGAACCTCGCGACTCGAGGGCTTGCTTTTCTGGGTTCCAAAACTTCAGGAAGAAGTAAATTTCGTCCGCTGGTGGCTCAGGTGAAGGTGTGCGTACTGGTGGGGGTGGCTGTACAGGCTCGGTGGGTAGGTCGACTGGGGGAGGTGGAGGTGGCGGCATTTGCTCCTGCGTGCCACCCATTTCTGTGTCACCAGGAATCACGCTTGGGATGTATACGTCAACAGCTGGCGGATCTGTCGCAGGAGTCGCTTCTACTTCAATCATGGCAGCATCGCCGGCTTGAATGACCTCTGTGGGTAGCGGGGTTTCGGGCTGTGTCATGGGAGGTCTGGAATGGTCGTGTTGTACAGCAGCTGGCTCTTCGGGCTCACTCATAGGCGTGTCTTCTGCTCTTGCAGGTACTTGGACTAGTGGAGAAGTTGATGGATGTCCACTAATGTTTCCATTCACTTGCAAGCTTTCCACGTCTCCTTGAGATTCCTGATGAGCCGAAGAAGGAAAGTCTGGGGTTGGTACCTCAGACACGCCATTGACTTGTTTGGGTAGCTCAGGAAGCTTTTCATAATCGATGACATGTACCCATAGCCTCCGATATGCGACAGGAGACTCTTCCAGTGTCCACTCTTTGGTGTCTGTGTATCGGTCGTAGCTACCGGCAGAGTACTCAATCTTCCCAGTACCAAGAAGGTTCGGCATTGGGTCCATAAACCAAAATTTTATCTGTCGCTCATCTTTGACACTGGTGAGGACATCCTTCAATTTCGCACGGATCTCTTTGCAGCCATCGCGGCTGGACAAAAACACTGTATGGATAAATTCAGAGTTCGCGTCTGCCCACTTGTGGTCGAAAGTGTCCAAGAGGCCGGGCCCTTCATGTTTAAGGAATGCTCGAGAATCGATGATTTGGAAACCCAAAGTCTTTGATGGCTTTGCTGCTGTGTCTGCTGCGGCTGCTTTGGCGCCTTCGGGTACCACGTGATCGAGAGGCAGTGTTGGTATTGGTGTGTGGGCCCTAGGGGTCTTTCTGTTCTCAATGTCTAGCTTGATCCACTCCGGCACGTCCCATTGCTCGGCCTCGGCTTCCGGCACAAAAGTAGACGGGGCTATGTCGTCACGCACATACATTGCAACATACGCTACTGGATCATTGCCGACAACCTGATCTGTGCCAGGTCTGCCCTCGTGTGCGTCAACAGCAAGGCGTTTCGGGAGGCATCTGACTTGATTCTCGTCTTTGCTGTCAGAATAGCTGTACCAACGAGATCCGGGGCCTTCTGGCCGAAGAATTGGCTGGTAAACATACGACTGCAGAGTTTGCTTGTGAACTACAAACCCGTACAGAGTATAGGATGTGCCACTGACTGTTATGTGGTCATTCAATGTAACCTTGTTGAGCAACTTGATGTGCGAACGTGTCTTTGCGCCATCGAAGGCGTGTCGCTCCAGCTCAATGGTCAATAGCTCAGGGAGTTGTTGCCCAGAAAGAGTGAAGCCATTCGAGCTGTCTACAGCTTTCTGCATGCTCTCTACGCCCACGACAGACACGCGATAACTTGGCACGCCGCTTGAATGATCGCGCTTAGTGCCACAAATTGCTTGGAGTGTGTCCAGATGAGGTGTGTTTTGAAGCTCCTCTTCCAGCTTGAGACGTAGCACCTCCCATGTCTCAACCACGTCGAGCTTGCTGAGGCCTTCGTGTATACCATACCAGTCCAGAACATCCAAGATGTCGTCTAGGCCGACTGGACCGGCTCCTGGGTCTACTTGGGTTCGTAGCATGTACAAGACTTGCTGGAACGCAGCGACAAGCGGCCTGGGGCGAACTAGGGGTTGCTCATTGGGATCTGCCACGTCTATGCTGTACAAGAGCTTTCGGAAGGGCTTGAAGAGCATCCAGGATGCGACTGCAGAGATCATATTACCGCCGGGCGCACTAGCATCTTCTCCGAGTGCGAGGCCTTGCAATCCAGTCATGGCAAAGCTGTCCCAGGGGTTTTCCCGAATAGGGTGCTCCCACAAGCAGCCAGTGTCGTCTTTGATGACGCGAATATACGCAGTGAAAGCGAGCTTATCCTCCCGGAGCAGCGCCATTCGCTGGCCATGCATACGGCGGCAGATTTCGAAATAGGGTCCGTGAAACCTAGTCCAGCCCCAATCTGGTGAGCCACTGCAGAAGCGGTGTAGTGCATTGCGTGAATAGTTGACGCGAGGCTCTGTCGGATTGTATAGGACGACGGATATCTGCGCAGCCACACTGTTTCGCTTGGGCATTTTTTTCGATCCAAGAAGCGGTATAGGGGCATGCTGGTATTCGACTCGGGGAAGTGGGGCCGCCGCCTTGTTGGGTGTCGGCCCAGCCTTCCCATGCTGCTGCTCCGATGCAAAGGCCCCGGGCTCCGCCAACACCTTGTCCGTACCGTTTGGCGCACGTCCGGCAAGTGTTGAAGCATCTCCAGTATTGTCTCCATCTCCGAGCTCGCTGGCGTCTTGTGCGGGCGTGTCACCATCGGCTTCTTCGTCATTCTTATCTTTTGGATCCATGACGCTCAAGCACTCTAGGTAGACACTGAGGTAGTCGGAGTCATTGCCCTTAGGATAAAACTTGATCTGCCAATCGTGTCCGCCAATCCTGACCACGTCAGATTTCATGACAATTTCATGGTTGGGCTTCTCCCGTGTTCCATTGTAGGCGTCAATGGTCCAGTGAATGCGACCCGTCTCACCAGCAGTATATTCCGGGTCCTCGAGCGGCTTGAACGCCTCCTTCTCCCAGTATTCGTGGTCCAAAGCACTATGTTCGCCTCGCTCTTGTATGTATTTGAGTTCATCTTCGTCGGGCGACGACCAGTCCTCTTGGAGCTGGTGCCACGGCGGAACCCCGTCGTCATCGTCCGAGGAATCGCTATCGGAACGTACGGGATCGACCGGGGGCGGCGGAGGCGGCGGCTGTATGTTGAGAAGGGCGGGCGGAGGCATTGAGGCCGGGTCCCCGGGGGGAGGAGGGTCCATGTTTCGGGTAGCATCAGCCTGGCTGGGGGGTTAGTGCTGGGCATATCGAAACACAGGTGCGGGACGGCAATGGAGGGTGCGACGACTTACAGCATCGCCTGGAATAGGCAGCAGTGGTGTAGTGATGGCGGCATCGGCCTGTGCTTGGGCAGGGGGGCCATTCGGTAGTAATGCGTGTGGTTCAGCGTCGGGCGTGACGTCCATGGCATCGTCGTCTATGGCCGAGACCTGGACAGCGACGGTGTTTGTCGAGGCATCGCGCTGGGCGGGCTGCTCCGTGTCTTGCATCTCGGCATCGTCCCGGTCGTGGTTCTGGCCGGCGGGGGGCCATGTGTGGACTGAGGTGCTCGTGTCCATGTCGGCGGCAGGCTGGGGTGGGGGAGAGGCGGGCGTGTGTGCATGAAGCAGGTGGTTGGGCGAGCGCGACGGGCTTGAGAGCTGCTGGCCAAAGTGCAGCGGCTGCTCGACGCTGACGCTCATGGTGGATCAAGTGGAGAAAAGCGCATGTGAAGGTGGGCAAGCAGCTTGACGTGTTTCAGGTAAAGAGCGTGGAGGTGAAGGTACACGAAGACGAAGGCGACGGCGACGGCGACGAGGAATTGATGAGAGGGAATATGCACGAGGCTGCACACGTCGGCAGGCGGGCGGCGGCGATCGGTGAGAGTCAACAGGGTGGTAGTGGTAGCGTGGTCGGGGTTGATGCAGCACGGTTGGGACAGGCAAAGGTATGGATGGATGGAGGGAGGGAGGGATGGATGTGGTGGGGAGCAGGGCAGTGGACGTGTTCAGCGAGGTGCGTAGGGTGCCGTTCACATATGAAGCAGCAGGCGAGACCAGGCGCAGGCGTGGCTGGAGCTTAAGAGATGGCTGCAGCCTGCCAGCATGCGGCACCATGCCAGTGCCAGTGCCAGTGCCAGCGCCAGCAAGCTTGGAGAGTGAGGCGGTAAAGCTACCTGGGAATCGGCCGGCCCCCGCGCCCCTTGGCCACTGTCCCGAAAGGCGAAACGTTTAGCCTGATTGAGCCACACGATACCGCCCAGGCTAGGGGTCACTGGGCCTTGCCAGCATGCTAACACCTGACAGCGCGCATGGAAGGACCCTGAGACGGGCGACGGCACCACCATCTTTCTCGGGTACACGTCGAATCTGATTTCATCTGGCCTGCGCGAAACACTGCGCTACCTGGTCCAGCACCGCCATGTCTCGGCCATTGTCACGACGGCCGGCGGTGTCGAGGAGGACTTGATCAAGTGCCTGGCGCCCACGTACCTGGGCTCCTTCTCGACGCCCGGCGCCGGCCTGCGCAAGAAGGGCATGAACCGCATCGGCAACCTCGTCGTGCCCAACAGCAACTACTGCGCCTTTGAGGACTGGGTCGTGCCGCTGCTCGACCAGATGCTCGCCGAGCAGGAGGCCAGCAAGAAGACGGACGAGCCGCTGCACTGGACGCCGAGCAAGGTCATCCACCGCCTGGGCAAGGAGATCAACGACGAGCGGTCCGTCTACTACTGGGCGTGGAAGAACGACATCCCCGTCTTCTGCCCCGCACTCACCGACGGCAGCCTGGGCGACATGCTCTACTTCCACACATTCAAGTCGTCGCCCGAGCAGCTGCGCATCGACATTGTCGAGGACATTCGCAAGATCAACACCATTGCCGTGCGGGCCAAGCGGACGGGCATGATTGTCCTGGGCGGCGGGCTGGTCAAGCACCACATTGCCAACGCCAACCTGATGCGCAACGGGGCCGAGAGCGCCGTCTACATCAACACGGCGCAGGAGTTTGACGGGAGCGACGCGGGCGCGCGGCCAGACGAGGCTGTCAGCTGGGGCAAGATCAAGCTGGACGGGGACAGCGTCAAGGTATACGCAGAGGCAACCGTCGTGTTCCCGCTCATTGTGGCGGCGACGTTTGCGCGCACGGCGGCGCAGGCAGCCAGGCCGTAGTGGTAGAGGGCGCCAGAGGCAGAGAAGGCAGCAAATCAGAAAAGTGCTGACACACATGGATGCATGCATGGCTTGTGCAAGTCCGAGTTGCCGTGACGAGTGGTGCACTTGCACCTGTGCTGGCTGTACATGTGCATGTACGGTATGGAGCAACGTCGTTGGTGCGGAGAGCTGACGCAGGGAAGGCGCGGTCGGGGGCGGGGCCCACCTTCCCCACTAGGCCCAGAGCGCTAACGTGACTGCCTGGGCTAGCCGGTCACTGTGGAGCAATCGATAAGCAGCAGCACGCAGCAGCACGCAGCAGCTCGCAGCAGCAGTGGCAGCAGTGGGAGCAGCTGGCAAAAGGCCGCCACAGCTGAGCGCCGGCGGGCATCGCGGCCACACCACGCCAGCCCTACGCGATGACTCGAACCACGGCCTCGGCTGCCAAAAGGGCGCCTGGCCGCCGCATGGTGACGCCCTCGACGTCCTCAGTGCTGGTTCGGGGCATGGCGCGGGCGCAGCGGCGCACGGACAGTCTGCCTCCGCACCTGGTGCTGGTGCTGGTGCTGGTGCTGGCACTGGCACTGGCACGCGCATGCGGGCGATCGGGACAGAAAAGAAGCAATCAAAGTGCAAGCAGCAATCAACAACTCACCATGCCATTGATGATGCGCACCGCCTCGCCGACCGCGGTGGCCTGGAAGCCCATGGTGGCGTAGCCGCCCACGAGCTCGTCGACGGTGATGCTGCGCGCCGCATACTGATTGAAGTCGATGCCCTGCACCTCTTGCACGCCCGCCGGCACAGGCTCCGAGGGCTTCAGGACGGCATCTGTGGCGCCGGCAGGTGCCGACGAGTGGGTGGCCATTGCAGGCAGGCAGGCAGGCGGGCAGGCGGGCAGTCAGTGTGCGATGGGCGTTGCTGTGATGAGCTGTCGCTGCAGCAGCACGCGCGCTCCAGGGGCGGGCGAGGGGGGGAAGAGGCGAGGGGGGCGAGGGTGAGGGCGATGTTCGGCGTATCTAGCAGCGCGCAGACACTGAAAGAGGGCCCTCCCTGGCAAGGCGGTGCGCGGTGCGGCGGCAGATTTTTGAGGAAAAAAAGAGCCCCCACACCCGTGGCCGGGCAGGCGCAGGCGCAGGCGCAGAGCTACGACTAAGTAAGGCGTGGCAGTGTCATCCCTGCCCGCGTGAGGCTAGTGCTCGGGTCGATCCTTCTGCGTGCGAGAGAGGGCTGCAGGCGTGCTGCCGCTGCCGTCGTCAGCCTGAGAGGCCAGCCGCCAGCAGCCAGCAGCCAGCAGCCAGCAGCCAGCAGCTTGCCGTCCGCCGCCGCCGCCGTCGTCGTGGGCGTGGCGGCGCGCTTCCCACGGCCGCCCAGCAACGCTCCGCTACGCTCCGCTACGCTCCGCTGCGCTCCCACCGTCGCGTCCGCTCGCGTCCCCCCTCGGGCGTGTGCAGCGCCAGTGCCAGCGGGTGCAGTGCTGTCTCCGCGCGCTGCGCAGCGCCGTGCGTGCCACGGCCCAAAGCGGGCTAGCGCGAGGCCAGGGCTGGAATCTGAGGCAAAACCAGCGGCTGCACTCCCCTGCAGATTATCGACAATATCCAACTCGGCGCCCAATCACACGCGCCCTCGCCGGCTGCGAGGGCCTCCCCTCGCTAGGCCGTTGCAGGCCAGCCGGGGCGTCCATTTTGACTTGCAGGCATCCGTCATGGCTGGGTGTCAGTGCTTGGTTCTCGTGTTCTGGTCTGGTCTCCTCGACGTTCCCCTTCCCCATCATCATCACACCTTCCTTGCGACACAGCGTCCCTCTTCACGACTCCATGCTGCCCCGGAGCCCCAGCGAGCAGCCTGGCTAGACACGCCCGCCCTCACCAGCTCCCCCTCCCCGCTGCCTCTGCCTCTGCCCGCCGCCCGCCCTCACGTGCCCGCCGCCCGCTCCTCCCTCGCAGAGAGCACCCCAGCGCCACGTCGACGGCCTGCACAACATCTCCTCGACGGCTCCCGACTGCCTGTGCCCGCCGCCGCTCGCTGCACACGCCCCCAGCCCCATCTCCGCCCATCTCCCCCCGCCCGACGGGCCCCTTCGCACGCGTTGCCAGTGCGAGAGAGAGGCACGCTTTGGGCGTCAAGGCCAGCGCCAGCAGATTGAATCTCAGCGTCCGGCGCCGAGAAGCTGCGCCTGTTCCACCGCGGATCGGGGATTTGGCGCTTTCCCTCATTTCCCTGGTTTCCAAGCACGGACCCTGCCGCTAGCGCCTCGCCTCCCACGGGCTGCAAACACGAACCTCGACTTACAGACCTGACCGACGTCAACCTGGGAACTTCACGGCCGCGTCGACGAATCACGCCATTCGCTTTGCTCGTTTCGCTTCAAATCCGCTCCCAAAGGCTCCGGGTCCACTGGTTTTCCCCCCGACCGCCTTTGCCGTGGCCCTTTTCCACACGTCATCCTAGCTCTGCCACCCCCAGCGTCTCCCCACGCGAACACGCTCTCCAACAACGGGAATCCGCTCTCTGCTCTGGCCCGCAACCCCTTCTCTTGCCCATGCCGCGGCTGCAGTCTCCATCTAGAGTAAGAAGCCATCACCATGTCTGCCTCACGGTACCCGGACAGTGGCCGATATCAACGCGACAGATCTCCGCCCTACCGAGATCGCAGACCGTCCGCCTTTGGAGGCGGCGGCGGATACCCTCCGAGAGGTAATGAGACCTTTCGTCCCAACTCGGAGCCAGGCGGCTTTCCGCGAGAAATCCCCAAAGGCCCAAAATCCCTGGGAGATGCGCCACGTGGTCCCCCAGTCGGGACACCGTCGGGTGCATCACCCGCGCCCCGTGACGAACGAGGTCGAGGCTTCGCTGGACGCGGCGAAGCAACACCACTGCGAACGGCGCCTCCGCTAAGCAGTGGACCTGGTTTCTCTCACAACTCGCAAAATTCTTGGAGGGCTGACCGCGACCGCGACCGCGACTTTGATCGACGCGAGAGGCGGCCCACTCCGCCACGGAGGTCGCCCATCCGAGACTCCAGGGATCTGCGCGATCAGAGAGACTTTGTACCGCGGGATCTGGATGTCAACCGCGCACGGCGCAATTCACGGGACGGCCCTCCTTCCGCAGGTTCCACGTATTCTGACCCCCCTCCTCTTGGCACTGCCTCGTCGTATCGCGGCGGAGGCATTGGCCGAGGGCGAGGCGGCTTCGCGGGACGTGGTAGGAATTTCCACAGTGATGACCGAGACCGGCATCACGATCCACGTGACCGAATACCAGAACGTACATCCTATCGACCCCGAAGCCGGACCCCTCCTAGACGCCAGGAAAGGGACATTCGAGAAGAGCGTGACTTTGACAGAAGAGACCGTGACGACCGACGTTTCCCCAGAGAGTATGATTCTTACATTGGCCCTGCAGGTACTGCGAAACCTGGTCTGCGAGCACTCGACACGCACCGTGGACCAGGTCCCTCCGACCTGAGACACCTCCCCGGTACACCGACAGGACCCCCTCCTCATTCCTCTCATCATGCATCTCCACCCGACAGACTGGGCTCACAAGGTGATTCGTATCCAAGACGGCCTTCTCTAGCAATTGATCCACTCTCTGCCAAGGACGGTCGCCGGGAGCCAGGCAAAGACGAGGCCTTGTTAGCTAGCCGTGCAGAGGCATCGAGGGAGAGATATGCCCCGCGAGCATCGTCACCTCCGGCTTCAATCCCAGCCTTTGGTGGATCCAACGTCTGGAGGGCGCCCGTTACTGACAGCAAGCCGAATGCTGCTCCAGCGGCACCGCCAAAACCTGCTCAGCCCTCCCCAGTATCCTCGACCACGCCGACCGCGCCTTCTGCTCCCTCAGCTCCTGCTGCTTCATCGGCACAAACCGCCCCGGCTACCCCGGTTGCTCCAACCGCTCCCACAACACCAGCAAAAACGCCTACAGTTCCTACTGCCCCCAAGGCCGCTATACCACCTGGCCTTGCGATCCTTCCTCCTACTGGGCCTAAAGCTGATCGCGCGCCGGATCGTCCTCCGCCTGGAGATGCACCAAACCCGGAGAGCAGGCTTGGTCCTCCTCCGCCTCCGCCTCAACGGATGGAACCACCCGCCATTCCGCCTGCTTCTACTCCATCGCAACCAACCGATGCGGCCAACTCGGACAGCATCGCTGTCAAAGGCCCCACGACACCGCAATTGTCTGCGCCTCCAAAGGGCCCCTCTAATGTACCGTCTGCTCCTCCAACAGCTCCAACCGCACCATCGACCACGGCAAAATCTCCACCCCAAGGCCCAGCTCCAAGGCCGCGTGCTCCGCCAACAGCTCCTCAAGCTGCCCTGCGAGCCAACGTATCGCCTTCCTTCTCGAGAGCCACTCTGCCGCCATATTCCCCTCGGGATGCGTCTCCAAATGCAGCTCCTTCCACGTTTGGACCACGCGTTGGTAGTGGAAGCGGACCTGCCGTGAGCACTTCGCCCAAGAGTCTACCAGCGAACATCCCGACTGGGCCAAAAGCTGATAGGACACCAATGGCTCCTCGCCCACCTCCACCATACAACCAGCCCGATAGGCCTGGGTTTCCCCTGGCCAGGGGCCCTTTGAGTGGAGGCCCGAAAAGCATGCAATGGGTGCGGCCCGGTTTCACGTCGAGCCGGCCTTCCATTCCAACCAAGCGCGAGTTTCCTACCGACGACCGCGAACGACCATTTGGAAATGCACCCAAAGCCCCGAGACTGGAAAACAGTGTGTCAGCGACACAACCCCAACGGACATCGCAGGCAAAATCAGTCTCACCCTCGTTTTCAAGGTCGGCTGACCCCGAACGGCCTAGAGAACGAGCCTTGTCTGCTGAAAGACCAGTCATGCCTTCGCCTAAGCCCACCTCGATCGAGACTCGACGCCATTCTGACGTTGTCATGGCAGAGGCGTCACCTAGAATGGCCAAGCCACCCATGTCTGCTGCATCATCTGCGCCTGAAGCTCTGCAAGACTCTGATGATGATTTGGATTTGGACGAAGACGACTTTGCGGAATCGGAAGCGAAATACAACCGAGAGAGGGCTCGTCTGGAGGCCAAACGTGTGGATTTGAATGTTCCACATCTGCGCGCCATCACGCCTTTGCAAGAAATTGCACTGCTCTCTTGTTTGACTGTCGATCATCTCCCACAAGCACAGCCGGAGTTGGTCTCTGCTGAAGAGATGAGCACACCATTGCCTCAAGAAGATGCAATTCCGCCTTCCGTCAAAGCAGCTCCTGAGGTTCCGGCAGTTCCCCAACAGCCGCCAGAGAGTATTACAGCAGACCTGCCGACGCCTCGAGCCGAAGAGTCCGAAGATGTCGAAATGGAAGACAAGGAAGAGCTTGAGGAAAGATCGACTGCACCCGCTACAATGGCACTTCGCCTTCGCCGCGAGACTTCTATTGAACACGATACTCCTCCTGACCTGAGTGCATTGCCTTATCTTGGTTCCGGTCCCCCAACACCGTTGTCTGATATTGGGCAAGATCATGCTTCCCTACCAGACTCGGTTATGGACGCCATCCGAACCAAATTGCGCAAGAGTATCGAGCCAGAAACAAACATAGAACAGACTCTTCGACGATACGCCGAGGTGTACAAAGAGTGGCGGTTACACATTCGACCGTGGGATGAGGAACGCGAACAGGATGAACAAGACAGGCAGCCATCGGCAGAGCCATTGCTCAAGGCTGTTACACCCGATGCACAGAGTGCTGCGATGACAGGGATACTTGACGGATCGTTGGCGCCCACAGGCCGCAGAAGTCACGCGAGTCGATGGGCTACTGAGCTGGACCTCGAGGCTGTTATCAAGGAGTCTCTAAAGACTGCCGAGGAGGAGAAACTCGGAAAGAGAGACAAGGAACCGAGAAAGGCCATGGCTGACCCTGAGAAGGAAGCAGATCTACCCTTGGAACTAACCGAGGCTGAGGCCCAACGGCGAAGATTTATCGACTACAACTTTCAGCGCGAACCCGGTCAGGGAATCTTTGTGTTCCACTACGAACCACCAGAGGACGATTTTACACCGGAAGAGCATCGAGTTATGGTCCACAACTACAAGGATCAGTATGCCAAGAAATGGGGCAAGCTGGCTGAGGTCTTGTACAAGGAGGTTGGAACCGAGCGGACCTACAAGGACTGCATCAACCATTACTACGCGACCAAGTGGGGCAAAGAGTACAAGGGCAAATTGCGGAAGCCCCGGGTCTCCCGGAAACGGGGTGGTGGTGTTGGCCGTGGCCGTGGAGCCATTGCTAACATGGAGCGAACTGAAGTGCAAGGAGAGGACGGACAGCCTCTGCCAGTCACGGAAACTGGAAGACCTAGGCGCTCGGCAGCACCAACATTTGGTCCTACGGAGACGGAGGTTGACCCAATTAGCGGAAATGCTACCCCAAGTCGATCGCGGAAGCAGACAGACACCGACGGCTCACAAGAGAAAGCTGGACGGCGAGGTAAGCCCCCAAAGGACAAGCTTGGCCGCAAGCCGAAGAACATGCCACTCGTCGCAGCCCCTACAGGCTCACCTGTCAAGGTGGATCGCAAAGAAAAGGCTTTTGGCGTCAAGGTGGAAGACGATGCAAACAAGCGACCTTTGGGTGAGGTGCCCATGCCCATGCACGTTGTACCCATGGAGGAACAGATGGTCATGTCCAGTGATTTGCAACAGCTCCCTGGCCTGCCAGGTAGCCTCATGGAACGGCCAAAGACCCAGGCCGGTGCGAGACCTGGACCGTCTAGTTATTGGTCAGTTTCGGAGCTGCAAGACTTTGACAAGAACGTTGCACATTTTGGCACGGACTGGATCGCAATAGCAAATCACATGGGTACTAAGACGCACACCATGATCAAGAACCAGTACCTCCGTCTTGTTGAAAGCGGCAAACTGGACCTTGAACAAGTCGCGAAAGAAGCAGACGCACGAAGAGAGCGAGGAGAAGATCTCGGGCCACCACCTACACCCACGCCAGCACCCAAGAGACGATACGAGAGTACACAAGCAACACCGGTTCGCCCCATTGCACCCACGCCTGAACATGCCTCTCCGCCTCCAAACCCGCTGGTGGTACCCAAGACGTCTCCCCCGCATACAAATCCAAATCCCCCTTCAAGGTTTCCTACCATTGCTCAAGGGCCCATGCAAAGCAAGCCATTGGTACCGACTTCGGGGTTCCCTGCCCTACCAGAGACTAGTCTTGCGTCTGTACCTACAATACCGCTACAGCAGTCACCACCCGCTCCACCCCAACGTGTCCAGCCGCAACAGCAGCCGCAACAGCAGCCGCAACAGCAACCGCAACCACCACCGCAACCGCAACCACAACCACAACCACAACATCACCATCATCAGCACTCCATGTCGCAACAAAAACCACAGCCGCAAGGACCTCGAGCAGGTTATTTCTCAGATGACCTGCCCGCGCGTTTTGAGAGCCGGCCGCCTTCGCAGCCATCGGGCAACCAACAGTCGCATCGGCCACTGCAACAACATGCGACCCCCCAGCCGCGCGTCCAAGAGCAGCACCAATCCCCTGTTTTCCGTGGACTTCATTATCAGGAGCGAGAGCCTGTGGCAAGATCTGAGGCCCCACAAGATCAAGAGATACAACGCCGGATCCATGAGCAACACGCCCGTCGGATATCCCAAGAGGTGCAACAACACAGACCTTTTGCTCCTAGCGGCGCACCGCCAATCAGGGCGCCAGTACGCTCAAACTCGGTCATCAGGTCTCCAGAGCACCGTCCCATGTCGTACTCGCACTCTCGGCATCCGTCGCAAGTCCAGTCGCTCAATCAGACAACTGCCGAAGTATACTCGCCAGGATCTAGCACCAACCACATGGCGCAACAACAGCTACCACCTCGCTCGACAATTCTCACGCCGCCCGTCAAAGAAGAGCCCAGACATATGACTCCCACAGCAATTCCCCCTGTTCAATCTCAACCAATGCTACATTCGCAATTGCAGCACCCACAGCGCAGCCAGCCACCTATGCACAACACCCCCCCGCCACCCGCCGTACCCAAGCCTGCTGCTGAGCCACGCAAGTCAAATCTGATGTCCCTGCTCAACGACACTGATCCAGAAGAACCCAAACGGAAGAAGGCGAGCGAGCCAGGTCCACCATCGCATAGCTCTACGCCTCTGCAATCCGCACCAGTCGCTCCACCTCCCCCGACAACACAGAGCTACTCGTCATCGTCAAGACGCCCACTCTACGAAGACCCCATCGCTGTGCAGCCTCCTTATAGCCGCCCATCGTATGCTCAGCAGTCCTCGCTTCCCACCGCAGCACCAAACAGGCCGATTGACCTTACGGATGATAAGCCACCGGCGGGTAGACCAAGCATACGCGAAAGCTGGCAATCCCGACAGCCATACCATCCCGGCATGGCTCAGACTCCGCAGATGACGTCCCTCCCATCCTCGCAGTCTGGGCTGCCTCAACCACCGCCCGCCAATGACAGGATGTTCAATCATCGATCTGTCTTTGCTCAGCATAACACGCAGCGTCAAAATGCCACTCCGCCTCCTCTTGCCGGGTACACCAATTCGCCAAATCCACATTCACGCACGTCGAGCATCAGTGGACCGCCGGGGCCAATGCCCCGACATTCCATGGCAGGCACAAGCGCAGCTCAGCATGCACAAGCAATGAACGCATCTGCCCAATCTGCACAAATCCTGCAGCCCAATCCGTATGCTCAGGTAGATCCACCAGGCAATGGCGTGCCACCATCTGGCCCCATGGGTATGCGTCCTAGCCCGCGTTTGCAAGCAAGCCATGTGCAACAGCGAGAGCCGGCCGGACGCAATGATCATTCGCAGGCTTCGAATGCAAACATGTCTTACTCCAATCCTCAAACACCCAACGAGCATCATGGCCAGCATCCTTTCCAAACTATGAACAGACTCACAGAACCCTACCGTCCCCGCGACCCTCGTGATGCGCACGACTTGGATCCTCGACAAATGTCAGATCGTGACACCAGTCGCGAGCTATCTCAAAGAGCCGACTATCTGCGTGAACAACTTTCCAGCTCTGCGTTGCGTTCGACTGGCCCACCGATTCACGAAGACATACGTTACCAGTCTCAAGATCGAGGCTACCTGGCTCAGAGGTCTCAAACCCAGACACCACTTTCAAGGACCGAGCATAGTCAGCCTCCGCCTCTGCAACATCCTCCCCACTCGTCACTCGGAGTGGCAAACCACTCATTGTATGCTCAACGCCCTCCTCCTGATGAGCCGCCGCGTCACTTTATGCGCAACCCACGGGATCGCAGTATGACGGAACGTCTGCGGGAGGAGCAGGCGCAGGCGCAAGCCCAGGCACAGGCACAGGCACAGGCACAACAAAAATAGAAAAAAAACCCCTCCTCCAAACAAAAAAGAAAAAAGCCCCATTCACCCATGTGTGCGTTGAACAAGAATAAAAAAAAACAACCAACAAGGGCAGAGGAAGAAGAAGAAGAAGAAGAAGAAGAAGAAGAAGAAGAAGAAGAAGAAGAAGAAGAAGAAGAAGAAGAATCTACCCAGACATCCCCCAAATCCCTAAACTCACCCCCCCCCCCCCATCCCGCATACCGACGCTCATGCAAAACTCGCATATTCATTTTCATCGCTGCCATGGGCCACGATCTCCAGGGTGGCGGTGCACTCCCGTGACCCAGTCGCTCGGTCCACTAGGAGGCAGACGCTGCTCAGGGAGGGAACCAGGTCCTGAACCAGGAGGTGGTGGTACGCCTCTGGCATGGCTAGCTCTCATGTAGCTGTCCCTGTGATGCGCGTCTCGGGCCTCACGTTCTCGCATATCGCGTTCTCGCATATCGCGCTCCCTCATGTCGCGCTCCACTTCCCTTCTCATATGCTCGTCCCGGTTCTGCATTGCTGCTTGGTGCTGGGCTTGGGCTTGGGCTTGGTTCGGGAACTATCATTACTTCTCAGAGAGAGGTTGAGAGAGAGAGAGAGAGAGATGTACTTGTTTGTCTGGCAGTCTGTCTATTCGTCTCTGTCCGTCTCTATCCGTCTGTCTGTCTGTGGAGTGGATATATGGATGCATGTGTATGTGTGTGTGTGTGTGTGTGTGTGTGTATGACAAAGGACCAACCCATCCCCCCCACCCTCTCCCTTCTTTTTTTGGACTTTTTCTCATGTACCTCTCTGCTCTGGTTTCTTTCTTCTTCTCCTTCCTCTTATTTTTTTTCTTACAGATTTTGTTCTTTTTTTTGCGGGCGTTATTCAATCTTTTCATTCTTTGTTTCTTCGTTTCTTTTTTTTCTTTTTTTTGCTCGTTTCGCAATATGGGGTTTTCAAGGAGAAAAAGAAAATTGTCGGCTGGCTAGCTCGGTTCATCAGTTTGGTTCGTCAGTTTGGTGGGGTGCGTGGATGGATGGATGGGGCTAAATCATATGATGATGGTACGTATGGCGGTGGTAGTTGTTATCGTTATCTTTATCGTTGTTAGTTAGTTAGTTAGTTAGTTAGTTAGTTACTTGATTTATACTCGTGCGTTTGTTTATGCCTTTGCTTTAGCTTGGTTTGGTTTGGGTTGGTTTAGTTCGTATAGGAAGATGAAGATGCAGATGAAGATTAAGATGAAGAAGAGAGAAAAGAAAAGAAATCTACCTTTTTTTTATTGTTGCTGTGTATGCATATATGGCGTGTTGGTTGATGTAGGTAGGTAGGTAGATAGGTAGATAGGTAGATAGGTAGATAGGTAGATAGGTAGATAGGTAGATAGGTATAAGGGTAGGTAGTAAGAGTAGAGTCAACTATGTACATGTATATCCTATGCATACATCTAGCTATAAACATCCTTATTCTTGGTGTGTTTGCGTGCTTATCTATCCATGTGTGTGTGTGTGTCTTGTAGTACTCATGCTATCTATATATATACATACATACATATATGCATATAACTGTAACGATGTTACAAGCCCCGCCAAGTACCGGAACCACAGCGGAGTCGGATCGGGACAACTATCCGCCGCAGGACAACAATGCCTGCTGTCCACGCCGCAGTCCCACCTTGGGAACTCGGGTCCGGATCGGACCCGACTCTAGTTTATATTTATTGGGACAGTTCCTGTAGATAGCTCAGTAGATTTTTGATATCCTTTCGTACAAGGCCTATAGGTGGCTTGTTGAATCTAGGCTCTTTGTGATCCCACGCACTCCCATATGCCTCTGAGTGATCCTACGACCGAAACAGATCCGACCTGCCTTACCTGCGCCGTTACAATAACTATACATATATACTAGACATAAGCAAGAAAGAAATAAAGAAAGAACAACGCAATACTAACAAAAGAAAGTAACAAGTAAAAGCGGAAATAACACCTCTAGAAATATAAATCATCTATCGTATATCCGGTTTACGTTAAAAGTGTGTGTGTGTGTAGACATAGCATTTTTCTGCACATCTTTTGATATTTACTATTCCAACATTGTAGTTACTCGCGAGTAAGTCGGGTTATGTTTCTAACGAATCGGTATTCCTTGTATTTTTTTGTATGGTCTGTGGGATGTGAATGTGAATATACTCTACTCTACTCTACTCTACATGCTGTACTTTACATACTCCAAGTAATCATAATCATAATAACAATCACACTTGCGAAACCCCCCCCCCCCCGCCACACGCGGAAACACCACCATACACACACACACACCCTTGAAGACGAAGACGAAGATGGAAAATAGAAAACTTGGAGAGAAGAACAAACAGAAAAAGAACAAATAAAGACGTGCTAGAGAAGTTTAGTTTGTGGATCTCATCTATTAGGATTGCTTCTTGTTGTTCTTGTTCTTGTTCTTGTTCTTCTTCTTCTTCTTCTTCTTCTTCTTCTTTTCTTATTTCTCGTCTTATTAGCAAATGCAACTAAACCAAACCAAAAAAAGGAGGTAAGACAAGACTGATATATAGTTATGTAGTAGCAATGATGAGTAATAGTACAAGATTGGACCCTTTTTAATCGGATTACATTGCATCCCTTCCCTTGAAAAAACAACAACAACATGAAGAACTTTTTTGTCAGATTGATGATATGGATGGAATGAGTTTGACGGAAAATAGCGCGCTGGATATAAGACGAGGATGACGACGGGCTTTGCAAGGATTCTATGGATACAAGGGGGGGTTGAGGATATGAGGATATGAGGTAGAGAGAGAGAGAGAGAGAGAGAGAGAGAGAGAGAGGTAAAGAGGGCGAAACGGAAATCTCATGTCCAAAACCAGGTCTTTCGGATTCACACAGGTGGTCGTGTCGACGAGCAGCAGCAGCAAGTTCGGTTCGGTTTAGGTTGAGAAACAGGAGATACGACATGGTACGGCCACTTTTCGGATGTTGAGGCGGAAATGCTGGCTGCGTCATCGGGCGAAGAGGGACAATCGCCATGGATATCGAGCACTGTCTCATGCTCACTCCTGCTGCGACATGTGCGTTGGGAAGTTGTAATCCGTGTAATCGATGTGGACGAATGCACGGTCGACATAAGGGACGCTTTCTATTGTGATTGTTAGTATACATGTACTCTACGCAAAAAAACAGCTACTTTTAGAATAGGGTCAACTTACCGAGCACATACTGCAAGCTCTCACCCAGGTCGTGACTATCCCTCAAGCTGAGATTCTCATCAACGACAATATCCACCTCGACGTTGAGCTTGTCTCCGGCATGGTAGGCTTGCAGTCCTTGGATGCGCTTGATGCTCTTTGCAAAGCGCATAGTCATGTAGAGTAGAATGTTTCTCTCGTCAGCAGTTGCGCTCGCGCCGGTCAAGTTGCGGACGTGCTCTGCGGATGTGGCACCCCAGCCTATGATGATGTAGGCCGAAAGGAGGATACCGCCGAGAGAATCGAGCCACCAGATCTTTGCATAGTATCCAACGAGGGGGAAGAAGATGGAAAAGGTGTTGAAGACCACGTCGGTCATGGCGTCTTGGGCAAGGGCTTGTACGCTCGAGTTGCGGATCAGGCGACACCAGAGCCAGCACATTCCCTTGATTACAACGGTGGATGCCATGATGGCTATGGCAGGGCCTCCCAGCTCGACAACCGTTCGGTCGGGTCCGCTAAGTCGCGAAATACCCTCGATGCCGACCTGGAAGAAGGAAGTCATCATGATGACGGAGAAGATCAAGACACCAATGGGCTCAAGGCGCCTGCGGCCAACTGGGTATGCATAGCGATCTTGGCGCGCAATCATCCAAGATGTGATCCACACAATGGCGGTAGAGAGAAAGTCGAGCGCAGCGTCGACTAAACTGGCGACGACGGACAGCGAGGATGTGAGGACGGTGACAACAATCTTCATGATGAGCAGACACGTGTTTGCCGAGAGATTGACGTAGAGGGCCAGTTTGACAATGGGGCTCTCGGTGTCTTCGTCTTCTTCGGGCACCCAGTCCATGAGCTTCGACTTGGCCGCCTCGAGATCCTCCTCGTCCTCGACGGCATTCTCGTGCGAAAGCAGCGGCGTGTTTTCGTCGATTTCGGGGACTTTGTAGAGGTTCTTGGGTGTGCGCTTGACCATGGGCTTCAGCCCGCCATTGCTGTTGCTAAGGCTTCCGGATGATCCGCTTCGGCCATTGCTCGAGAGCCCAGGCGTGGTTTCGCCAGAATGGCCGCCATTGGCGCTGGGTGTGCCGGTAGACGATTCTTCAGCGATGGTGGTAGGAATCTTGACAGCGCCGGATTCGAGGTTTGTGTACTCCTGGATGAGGTTGTGCGGGAGCGACGAGTCGAGAAGACGGTCAATGTACATGTAGTGCTGGATGAGCTGGTTGTTGCGCTCGTAGTAATCGCGTATCGGCTTCTTCATGCCCTTGAGTTCTTCGTCGCTCTTGTAGTACTTTTCCCACTTGTAGCGGGGGTTGGAGTTGCCAATCAGGCGCTGGCTGCGCATCTGCGGCGTGTTGAGGATGTGCGCGCCGATGCTGCTCCTGCGGTCCGAGTCAGACATGATGAGCCCATGTCGGTATGCCTCCATATCCTCGTCGTCGGTGTCGCTGCCGCGTCGCTCGTTGCTGCGGATGGTGGAGGGCCGGCGCGTGCTGTGCAGGAGCGAGGGCAGGTGGTGGCCACGCGTAGAAATGGCAGAGGCCTCGTTCTGCAGAGGCAAGAAGAGCTTGGAGCTGGCAAGGCGGGGCAGGCTGGCTGAGCGGGGGACTGTCGCCGTCGAGGGCGACGGGGGCGGGGGCGTGGACGGGTAGTCGGTCATGGTGGCAATTGGGGTGGATCGGGAATGGAGGAGGCGGAGGAGGATGTGGAAAGAAGGTCACTGCTGCGAGCACAGTTGATAATGTACGCGTCGGGGCGGGCGGATCGGGGCGGCAGCCAGTGTGGTGCTCGTATTGGTATTGCGCGCCGCGTGGGGGGAGCGAGGACGGGCAGGGCGGGCCCAAGTATATGGGGGATTGCGCGCGCGTGCTCAGCAACAAGCAGCAGGACGATACATGGCCAAGGTGATATTGCCCGGCATTTGCTTGGTGCAGCGACCCAGAAGACGTGGTTTTCCGCAATACGGCCGGCGCGCGGCAGAATGCGACGAGGAGCGTTCGCCGAAACAAGATGGCCTTTCACTCAGGGCGGGATCGACACTGTCTTGGCCCGCTCGTGCCTGCACCTGCGCCGACTTTAGCTGTGGTCCAAGCGCGCTGCTGAATCCGGGGTGGCTGAGCCGAGATCGCCAGAGCTTTCTGACAAAGATCCGTCTCAACTGTTTCACCCACTCACATCGGGCTCCACGCTGGCCGTCGTGCTGGTGTTGCTGCTGGCGACTCTGTGATTCGGCCGCCGTGTCGCCTCTCTTGCGTCTTCTGCAGCGATCCACCTTGACCGGCGTACAGAGCACCCGCACCGCGATGCTCGCACCTGGACAGTTTCACGCACTCCCCACTCGGCTTGGGAAAAGAGGATGCAGGCGCCATGTGAAACATCTGCTGCGCAATCTTGGCAGCCGTCTTTTCTTTTGCGTCGAGTCCAGGCATCCTCGCGCTCCCCCGCTTATTCCCGACTACAGCCCGCATGCCAGAGACACCGACGGACGCTCCAACGCATCTCTGACCGGTGCGAAATGCTGCTGGATTCTCACGCCAGCTTACTGGCCGCCGCCGTTATGCATGCTCCACCCGTCTCCCCGGTTGATCCATGAACGCCCGCCTCGGCCGTTGCTAAGCAAATCCATCCATGTACGCGTCGACGAATGCTCAAAGACGCATGCGTTGCAACCAATGCATGATGCACACATTGGAGACGTACAGAGGATACTGGCCCTCAGGGTGGGTCACGGAACCACGGTGGGTATACTTGGCTGCTGGCGACGATTAAGGAGCAGTTCAAGTGGACCCTGAACAGACACAGACACAGGCGCTGATGCCCTGCCCTGCTCTGCCCGACACATATGCACAGGCAGAACACGGCCGCATGCAGTGCACGAGCAAAGGGGTGCTTATGGTGTATATGAACCGTGGACCGAGAGGCGTCAACCCGGTGCTTTGGCCATATTGCACCGTGTCTACCGGATAAGCCTCCCCTAGCTATAACGCAGGTCAACCGACATGGCCCAGAACAGAGAGCCCTCACCCTGAACATGTTATTGACACTTGCGTGCTGCGCTTGGCACGCTTCAACTCGACAGTCGAGGCGCTGTTATATCTGCCGGCAGGGATGCAGGCTGCAAAATATATCGACTGCAGTGCGCACTCAAGCCCGCTTATTCCGCTCTTGTTCGAGAATGCATATCGTCGAGTAGAGGAAATGTCTCTGGACAGGGAAAGGGAATTTGAACATGGAATTCAGCAAAGCATCTTCATGCAGTGAAGAAAGCCTTTGCATCACCGCAGCACATTGCTGTATGTCACCCACACAAGGCATAGAGCACTGGCGGGGTGGTGGTTTGGGGCAGTCGGACCAGCACGCCTAACCCAGTCCGGCCTAGCGGCACTGGTTGCTTGGCAGCGCACCTCGGCTAAGAGCCTGAAATTCGTTTCTCTACGACAACGACAATCTCTTCGACATCCGACTACTCACCACAAGCAGTCAAGATGCCGGTATGATATCATCCTCCGCGAGCACGCAGCCATGTAGGAACGCCTACTGACGATTTCCGCAGAGCCACAAGTCATTCCGCACCAAGCAGAAGCTTGCCAAAGCGCAGAAGCAGAACCGCCCCATCCCCCAGTGGATTCGCCTGAGGACCGGCAACACCATCAGGTACGAACCGACGGCCACATAGGAGCAGACCGTCTCGCCATCCGCCGAGACACGGGCGGCAGCGAGAGGCAGCATGGCGACCAACTGTGTGAACGCGGACTAACGGGATGCCCCTCAGGTACAACGCCAAGCGACGACACTGGCGCAAGACCCGTCTCGGTATCTAAGCGGCTCGCCCCCTCCAAGCCATCCCTCACTCGATTCTCGATTCTCGATTACCTCTTCCGGCGCCCACGACAAGTCTTGTTGGAGACGAGCGACTACATTGGGAATTTCGCACATGGCGGGAACCGAGCGACCAGTCTTCTAAGAGCGAAGTACGTCTGCAACACGAGGGATGCAATGGGCGGTCTTCTTTTCACGTTACCGGATACCTCCCTACCTCTGATTCATGGCGCTTTGGGTCTGTAAATGGGCATGAAAGGAATCGATTCATGATGGTTTAGACTAGGCAGTGATGAATGAAAGCACTTGCTAGGTCTCAATGAACAAGAAATAGCCTTGTCGTATCGTGATGCACCATGTTGGCACTTGTCGGTCAGCAAGCATGAGTGGCCGTGATGCTCTCGTGCTCGTACCACTGGAGGTGAGCAGACGACACATTGGAGACTCGCATGCAGCAGCCAGCAAATGGCACGATGACGTGAGATAAAGATGATTGGTATTACTTGCATTAGTCATACACGCAACGACGCTTGTGACGCACTTGAAGGGCAAAACTTGCCAGCACCAGCACCAGCACCAGTAGCCTACTCGATGCAACCCCTACCCCCACAAACCCTCGGCTTTGACCTCTCATCAGCACATGGCCGCGTTGCCTACATGGCTTGGTAGCTCATGGTCTAGGTGATTATCTGGAGAACGACGGCATGCACACTTTCCTGAAGGGCGCCTCTCCCTTGGCTTGGCAGAGCCCAGCCGCAGTCAGATAGGCGCAAGCCACAAGCACCGGGCTATCAACCAGTCGTCAATCTCACCATTACCGCCCACTTCTCAGCTGAAACTTGGGGCGGTCTGTCAAATCCACCACCAGACACGTCTCCTCGCTTTTCCCCGCCGTCTCGTAAAGGCTAACAACGCCCTTGTCAATGCGTAGCACCGTGCTGCTCCCAGCATAACAAAGACCCTTTTCCATTCCACACCGGTTGGCCAGGATCACGCACACGGGCTTGCTGCCCTTGGCCTCGACCAGCGGTTGGAATCTCTCGACCCAGTATGCCACTGTCGCTATGTCCGGCTGCGACGGATCCGTTGCGAGTTCGGTAGGCGACAGATGACACAGCCAAGCCATGGACACGCAAACAATGGGCGATTGGGCAGACAGTGCCGTCGACGCAAATTCGTAGTCTGACCACGGAGAGATGAACTTGTACGGGTTGATATCCATGCATATGCCCAGGGTGACTTTGCCCAGGTCGCCCAGGTCGCCAGAGTAAAAGGGCGCGTCTGGGGACGCGGGATTGGAAAGGCTATGCGACTTGGAGCCTGGACCCTCGGACGCCCATGTTTCGTCGGTGTAGTAGAGAAAGGATTTCCGGTAGTTGTTCAGTATCTGTCCAGAGGGCGAGACGGTCACGGTGGAGTTGTACTGCGTCTGGGCATCGGATGGGTTCTTGGAGGGTACCGTGACTTCCGGGTATCCGACGGTGACATGGCAGTTGTAGTGCTTTGCGACCTGCTGGGCCCACTGGGTAGAGATGCCTGCCGTGGTGGGTTCCAGGAAGGGCTTGATCTCGTCGAGCGAGTGGAAGTTGTAGCCCGAGAAGGCGAGTTCGGGCAGAATGAGCCAGGCTAGGTCGGCGGGTATTGGCGTGGCTTTTAGTATGCTGTCGGCGCGCTGGATGTTCGCTTGCACTTGGCCTACCTCCGGGGCGAACTGGAGGCACGCGACTTTCATTTTGGCGGCCTCTCTGGTTGGTTTCGGGGTTGCCCTGAGGGATTTTGTTCAGGCGTCGTCGCCGAGGCGGTAAAGCGCAGAGATATAAGAGCAGACGGCGACGGGCCAAGGACGTCTTAAAACGAGGCGCGACAGAAGCGTTTCTGCTTCACTAGAGGCCCCTTAGACCGAGGCAGTGGGCGGCCTCAGAAGGCCTAGGTAAATTGGTGAAGCACCAATTGGTGTTTGAAGAGGCAGCGGACGGCAGTTGTCCAGATATTCTCCCATGTACCTGAGCAAAGGGGTGGGCACGCGCGCTTGGCAGTCTAGGGGAATCAGACGACGAAGACAGATGGTACGGACGGGCGCATGCTCATATTTCCTCCGGCGCGTTTTAGTAAGGGACTGCGATTGTGCTGCTGCTGCTGCTGGTGGTGGTTAAGAGGCCCTGAGTATGGCGAAGGGGCCAGCCCAGCAGCCCCACTAAGCTTGATCGACAAGGCTCGTCCGGAACTAGCGACAACCAGCCAATCGCTCGTTTTGCGCCCTGGGTCCCTCGCTTGTGCCCAGCTAGCTATGACGCGCATAACTCTGAGGCCCTTCACGAGCCTCTCTTTCTCCCTGCACCACCATCGCCGCCACCATCGCCAAACCATGTGCAGGCCACGCCGGTAGACGCCTGCTTTCATCTCGTCGCAATGGCAGCAAGACGGCTCGTTGACGCCGCAAAGCTCTTCCACGCAGCCAGAGGCGTCGCCAACCGCCATGTTGCCCTCCGATCCAGCCAGTGGGATGCCTACACCAAGACGTCGTCGCTAGCCAAGGCTGTCAAGAGCCAGACGGACCGTGTCACCCTCACCGCAGCCGCTGCCATTGCCCTCGCCCAGCGCTTCAATGAAGAAGTCCCGTCGTACGCAAAAGCCGCAGCAGAACGAGCAACACGCACGCAATGGACGCCCCACACGCAGCATGCCCAGCCTGGAGACATCCCGAGGAGAGATACGGTTAAGAAGGATCAGAGTGAGCCACGGTATGTGAAAGAGGGCATCGAGCAGGATCACCACTATGACCGCTCGGGGCAGAACACGGCCGATACACCACCGCCGGCCGAAGAGCTGCAAGTAGAGCAGAAAGACGCTCCGAGATCGCCGTTACCCGACGGCACGATACCCACGAATGGATTAACACTGGAACACGAGGAAAAAGGAAAGGATACGTTTTCTGACAGGCCAGGGCATGAGACACCCAAGGATCCTCTAGTCCAGGATCACGACAAGGGAATCAAGCCGGTCGAGTCCACAGAGACGACTATACCGCTACCGGGGCAGCCAAGGGGTGGTTCTACTCAAAACAATCAATTCCAGGCGGCCCCCACGCCGGGCCGGGTCGAGGATGAGATACCAGAAGGCATAAATACCGATGTGTTTCATTCAAAACGCGTGGCAAAGATGCTGGGGAGCGATCCTTTTTCACGCAAGGAATATGCAGAACGTAAGAGTAGTGGCAGGCATCCGCTTGATGACAGGCCTGTAGGAAGGCATCCACTTGACGACAGACCTATAGGAAGACATCCGCTTGATGATCGGCCCTTGTCTTCAATACAAAAGTCAATATCCTCATCGCCACCAAGGTCACAAAATAGAATGCAACCCGAGACTACCCCCAAGGAAATGGAGGAGCTTGCGTCTCGGCTTGCTCCGGATACCCAGGCCCATGCAACTGCATCCGAGGTACGTCACCTGCGCCTATTAGCTTGAAGTATGCTGATTCGCTGACAGCTGTACGATAGACCCTCGGCGAGGTAACGTCAGAGCCAGAAAAGGCGCCCTATGTTCTACGAGAATCAAGGGTTCCTTCATCACGGTTTGGTCGTATCTGGCAGTATGCCGGACTGGGCACAAGCATGGCTCTCGGGGCTGTTGGAGAAGGCTTTCGTCGTGCGACCGGCAGTGCTGCATCGACTACCGGTTCCCTCATGCTGAGCGAGAGGAACCTGGAAATACTGGTAGCAAAGTTATCGCGCATGCGAGGTGCGGCTCTTAAGCTTGGCCAAATGATCAGCTTCCAAGACATCAAGATGCTTCCCCCTGCAATCCACGATGTCCTGCAGAGAGTTCAGGATAGTGCCGACTACATGCCAGCCTCGCAAAGAAACAAGGTCCTGAGCAGTAACCTTGGCGACAACTGGCGCGACCTCTTCGAGTCATTTGAAGACATTCCCATAGCAGCAGCCTCGATTGGCCAGGTCCATAAAGCAGTACTCAAGTCTACCGGTCAAGCAGTGGCGGTCAAGGTACAATACCCTGGCGTTGCCAATTCCATCGACTCCGACCTTAGTAACCTCTCCATCCTCCTAACAGCGTCCCGTCTCCTACCCAAAGGTCTCTACCTCGACAAAACCATTGCCAATGCACGCACCGAGTTGGGTTGGGAGTGCGACTACACACGCGAAGCAGAATGTCAAACTCGCTTTCGCGAACTCCTCAAGGATGACACTGATGTCTTCACTGTGCCCAAAGTTTTTACTGAAGCCTGCGGTCCTACCGTTCTTACCGCTGAACTGATGCACGGCGTGGGCGTTACCAAACTCAAAACCCTCACCCAGGACCAACGAGACTGGATTGGTACGCAAATCCTTCGCCTCTGTCTGCGTGAAATTGTCGAATTCAAATTCATGCAAACCGATCCCAACTGGACAAATTTCCTGTACAACGCCAAGGCCCAGAAGATTGAACTGCTGGACTTTGGCGCCAGCCGCGACTATCCCGATAAATTCGTCGCGCCCTACGTGGAAGTCCTAATCGCAGCTTCCAAGGGCGACCGAAACTCAATCCGCGACCTCTCCCTCCAACTCGGCTACCTAACTGGCTCCGAGAGCCGCGCCATGCTCGACGCCCACATCGACAGCGTTCTCACGCTCGCCGAACCCTTCAACTCCAGCGGGCCTGCCGTCTACGACTTTAGAAACCAAACCATTACCGATCGTGTGCGCGGCTTCATTCCCGTCATGGTCAAGGAGAGACTCGCACCCCCGCCAGAGGAAACGTATAGCTTGCATCGCAAACTCAGTGGTGCGTTTTTGCTCTGTGCTCGCCTGGGCTCCCGCGTCCCGTGTAAAGACTTGTTTGAGAATGCCGTGCAGACGTGGCGTTTGACGAGATGAGATGAAGACAGGGGAGTTGTGTGGGGCAATATCATGTACAGGTAGATTTATGTATTATGCGGAATGTATCATAGCTTTTTTTTCACTCATTTCTTGACGTCTGTATGTACGGCTTTTGGTGTATGCTATGCTGATTTAGATATCTTGTTGGTTGTTAAGAGTGATTTTCTAATTCCAACGTGCTGATCTGATGTAGTGCATTCTAAATAAGCCTGTGCAATATCCTGGAATGACACTATCTTTTTCTTTTTTCCTATCTGTCTAGTCTACTCAGTCTCATCTCTATCTATTATTTTTTTTCTCTCTCTCTCTCACTTTCCCTTGGTAGGAAGAAGGACATGTATTTTATCGAATCACTAATGTAGTAACCCCCCCCCCTCTCTCTCTCCTGTCTCTCTCTCTCTTCTCTCTCTCTCGTTAGGGTAGGGGGGGGGAGGGGGAGTTCTTTTATACACTAAGACTACAACTACTATTAACAAAAGAATAGGATAAAAAAATAGCAAGAGGCAGTGATGGGGGGTGGGTGGAAGGGGCAAGTACATTGATATATAAGTGTAGATTGGAAATAAGCAATAGATATTGTTGTATGCGGAAAATAAGGGATATGACGGGCAGGGTAGATTTGAGGCTTGGCTTGTAGAAGGGGCTTTGTTGGGTATATGTTTGTGTTTGTGTGTGTGTGTACGTGGGTGGGTGTGGAATGGGTATTGTTGGTTGGATCTTGTGTGTATTGTAATGCAATGTAATGTAATGTAGGAAAAGAGAGACAGAAGAGAAAAAGAGAGACGCAAAAAAAAAGTCAAATGTAGTATGTATGGAGTAGTCGTGCAAAGGAAACAAGAATACAGCAGAGCAGAATAGAATAAGCATAGATATAGAAGGGACAAGAGAGAGAGAGAGAGAGAAGAAGATAAAAAAGAAAAAAAAGGGGGGGGGATAGTAATGCACAAGATAAGGATATTTGAAAAAAAAAGACATAAGTAGGGACTGGAATAAGATGGGCGAAGTAAATAAACAAGGTGGAAAGGATGAAATAGACAGTGAATGAGAAACGTGAGAAGAATACTGTGTTTAGCTATTTTTTTCTTCCTCATTTTGATCAATGTTTTGTTCTACTTCTTCTTCTTCTTCTTCTTCTTTCAGTCTGTGGTATGAGGGAATATTTGAGTGAAGACTTGTTCTAGATTTCTTGTTTTATTTTTAGTCATGTATGTATGTATGTATGTATGTATAATAGAGGATATAAGATATAAGATGTAACAATGTACATGACTTTTGGATAGATGCAATACACAGACATGAACACACTGCTAGACAGAGGGAGGGAGAGATTATAAGAGAGGGGAGACAGACACAGAAATAAAGCATCTTCCCCCCCCCCCACTTACTCGCACACAGCCCTTCTCACTAACCCGCAGCACCGTCCTAAATTTTCTAATCCCCTTTTTGTTTTTTCGTTCTAATCTTACTCCTACTCCTCCCCATCTTCCTTCCCCTCCTTAACCACAGCCGTAGCCCAAAAATACAGCGCGACAACAATAAAAGAGCCAAACCCGCCCGCCATAATCATTCTGCCCCTAAACCCCTGTTTCCTCTTTAGCGCCTCATCACCGCCCAGAATGACAACCGCCTTCTTGGACCAGGTATACTCGAGACCGCTGTATATCGTAGTTGAAGCCACGACGGCAGACATGGCTTGAATAAGCGTCGTAACGCCCTGTTCGCCACCAAGCGCATTCTGGATGGAAGCAAGCAGACCGCCAGCCGCGGAGGTGGTGGCCTCGGGGTCATGCAGCAGGTTTGTGCAGAGCAAGGTACCGAGTAAAGAGAGCTGGAGGAACGTGTTGAATTTGGAAATGGAGGTGGGATGGACTTGTGCGCTGGGGAGGCTAAAGTCCCAGTATCGCGCCATGGTTTTCGGGGCGGGAAGACTGGCGTAGCGGTAGTAGAGGGCGGAGAGGGCGAGGCTGGCGTCGCGGCCGAGGATGATGGTGGCGAGGGGGAGGGGGAGACTGCCGTTGACGGCGAGACAGGTTACCAGTGTCGTCATGAGGAACTTGTCGGCCATTGGGTCTACCACGCTGCCGACGACCGTCTGCAGATGCCAGCGGCGGGCGATCCAGCCGTCGAGCAGATCGGACAGCGCGGCGTAGGCGAAGAGCGAAAAGGCATACAGATGGTGGTTGTGGATGATGAGGTAGCCAACCATGGGGGTGGCGATCAACCGGGAGAAGGTAAGCATATTGGGCAAGTTGTAGATTTGCTCATGGCGCGGCTTGTCGAGTTTGAGCGTCGACTTGAGCGTCGTGGCGAGTTTGGCGGATGCTGAAGTCTCTGCATGGTTCTTCTGCGGGGGTTGTTAGAATGCCTCTTTTCTTTTCATCATCGTCGTCGTCGTCGTGTTGTCGTCATTATTGTCGTTGCAGCTACTTCTCATACTTCATATGTGGATATCCGCACAAAGCCTTGGATAGAATAGAATGGAATAGAGAGATATAAACAAAAAAAAAGTAAATCAACATTACACATAACCGTGTCTAAGAGAAATCTTGACGCGAACTACCAACTACAACTAAGGAAAAATAAAACAAGGCATATACATAATTGCATATACCAGCTGACATGGGACCAGATGACTCGACTTGGGGAGGGGGGAATGTGTGCTAAAACAGCGCCACCTACCGCTGAATGAGCCTGTCGTGCTTTTACCTCATCCTGCAGACCGAGTCTCCGGGTTGTGGAGGTGCTGAATAGACCCGCAGCAGCAGCAGCAGCAGGGCGTAGACGGCATTGCTTGTAAGCTGAAGGCCTCGCGACCAATGATGTCTTTACGCCATTGCGAGTCGAGGCAATGGAAGCACGTGAGGTGGCTCTCCGCAGAGGCTGGCACCTCGACGTAAGCGGGTCTGCGTACCGCAGGCGCAGCAATGGCGTGTATGCAAGACGAGAAGGCGGGAAGGCCCTCGCATGGAATAAAGAAATCATGGAATGGCCGTGTACAGTTGGTCGCGGCGCCAGAAGGCTTCGGAGAAGGGCCCTTTGCAAGCTTGCCGGGAGAGTTTTGCCAAGAAGCGCGCTAGTCCATCACATGCAGGACGCTGGGCTGAGCCGTGTGGAGTCCTTTGAGTTTATGTCGTCGTACTTCGCACACACAGACACACAGACACACACAAGCGAACAAGCCACCGTTTCTTAGGAAGGGGGGGAGCACGCCCCCCATAGCTAACTAGTACAATAGGCGAAGGGGACGCCTCGGTGTGTGTGTGTGTGTGTGTGGTGGCTAAGTACACAAGTAACTACTTAGAGCGAAAGAAAAAAAAAGTCCCGCAGAAAGATGCGTTTACAGCGATTGTCGCGCTTGCAACCTAAGTAGCTGTTATGTAAAGCCCCCCCCTCTCATTCCAAGCGAACCGGACCGTGTCGTGTCAAGGCTGGCGGCCTGCTTACTGCCTCTTGGCTGTGTACCCGTCAAAGGCAAAGGCAAAGGCAAAGGCAAAAAAAAAGATTAAACCAATACTCGGGGGAAACGGCCTACGGACATGGGGGGGGGGGGAGCGGGGCTCCGGTATAAGTGCCAAGTACGGGCATATACTTACAAAAGACTAAAAGTCGAACGAGGGTTCAACGATGGCGGGAGGGCTGACGACCGACGAGTCGCCTGGCATACAAGCCCCCCCCCCCCACAACACATACATACACACACCGGGACGTCAAAGTCGCCTAAGTTACCTTGTCCCTGGAAAACTTTACATGTACATGGCTCTAGCATTTATTCGTCGGCTTACCGCCGGTAGCGATGGATGACAGGCTACAAAACTTGGGATGATACGGAGGTGCCTCACAAAAGTTTTGTCCCACGCTAATCTCGGCGCTTCGGCATAACTCTTCTTGGCGCAACTCCCACCTTTGAGCTGAGTAGCTGTACGATTTGTCTGTATCTATCGTTACAATGTCTCCTAATACTGATCCTTACACCCGCACCTTAATTGTGGCGTTAAAGTCACCTTCTGTTGGCAAGTCTACATCACAGATCTCTGAACTTACTGGTGTTCATCCTCGTACGGTCAATCGTATCTATAGTAGAGCTATTGAGGCTGGTTTCGAGCCAAACGTTCTCCCTCTTAAGATCCTCCCAGAGCACGTACAAGACGCCCCTCGCTCTGGCCGACCTTCAAAGCAGACGGATAAGGTAAAGGAGCAGATAATCCAACAAGTACGACGTGATAGATACGGACGAGAGAAGAGCTGCGCTGACGTTGCTGGTGCTCTCAGTCTTCAAGGAGTCAATATATCACGCACTACAGTCTGGAGAGTATTAAGAGAAGCAGGATACAGAAAGACCAAGCCGACGAGGAAGCCTGGACTGACACAGGAGATGAGGAGTGCTCGTCT